CGAACCTTCCAGATAGAAAAATTCCAAAAGATGTTTCTAATAGGTGGAATTCTACCTACGAAATGCTTAAAGTTGCTTATGATAATCGGGTTCCTCTACAAAATGTATTTAATATGCATAATAGTATCCCCGCTGATTAAATTGTTGATTCTGATTGGGATGAGATCGAAGCGCTTAATAAATTTTTAGGAAATTTTTATTATGCTACAAAATAATTTTTTTGGTATATATTATCCTATTGTTACACAAATATTATGGTATATTTGTGGAATTTTTATTGCATTTGATAAGTATAAAACAAATCCAACTTATGCACCGGCCATTAATGAAATGATTGTAAAATTTAAAAAGTATTTTTTCATATTCCCCAAATTTATTTAATTTCTACTCTACTTAACCCATCTTTAAAATTAAGAGGTGCAAAGGGACTTGTTCGTAAAACTTATGAGAATTTAGCAATTCAAGAAAATGAACTGCCATATCTCGAAGACTGCCAAACTAACATATATTTTTATGCTAGATCAATTTTGATAATTATAAATCTATGGCAACAACAAGTGGTGAAATTGCTCCTGCTACTTCTAAGGCAAGAGTAGAAGTTATATGGGAAGGTATGGATGATATAACAGGGTTTGATTCCTCTATTGATGATGAACTTGATTCTTATCTTAATCAAGGATTGGAAAGTATTAAAGACAAAGAAGACAACAAGCAATTTTTGGTGGAAGGAACGTGGCAAGGCATTTCCAACACTTTCAATAATGGCCCGAGATATATTGGTTATTCAAGCATCATCAGTAGCATCGAAGAGTGCTTTTAGCGCGACAAGATTTCAAATCGGAGATCACAAACATTCTTTAGCGGAGGACAGCCTAGAGATTTCCGTCTTATTCAAAACTGGATTAATTCAGAAAGAAGAAATCCTGGTTTTGAAAAATTAACCACTAGGGAAGAAGAAGAATACAATGAGATACTTAGCACTATGAGCGATGACGGCATGGATCTCATGGAACATCAATCAACATTGCTAATTCCAGAACAATGTCCGAGAGATATTATAGATAAGTTACAACGAAGCAATATAGGAGCTTACAAATATTAGCATGATAATTTGTAATTGGCTACTAAGAGGCCTAGTTCAAACAAAATCCTTCCTAGAAGGTAGCTGCGTATATTAGGTGTTCTTCAAAAGAATTGTATTTGTATGTGAAATTTGAAAATTTTATTAATAAAATAAAAGACTTAAGCCTTGATTTTTTGTTTATGAATTGTATTACACTCTTACTTAGTTACTTTATGGCTTGAAATTACATTAATAAATTACAACTCTATTAAAATTACTAAAATATTTCGTTACAAGTCTTTTGTTTTAATATTTTATAATTCTTTACTTAGTTTCTTTATAATTTATTAAGTTTAAGTTTATTAAATAAGTAAAAAAAACTACCCTTTGCTTGTCCTATGAGAAACACTTTTAACTTTTGGCTTTGAAATTCTGCCCATGAGACAAGCGAGAGTCAAAAGTTAACGACCACACCCAAAAGTGTCATATTTCTATTAAAAAAAAAATTGGCTCAAAACAAAAGCTGTTTCAAAATGTTTGTATGTCGGCGAAAAACAAGATTAAAGATGAAAAGAAAGAGGATCGTGTGGGTGAGTAAGAACCTTGATGAGAGACAAAAAGAGTATTGAACACAACAACATTTAAGAGATAAAAAACCTATAACATTTAAGAACAATCAAATCTTATCATAGTGAAGTGATACATCATATATGAACCTGTTTTTGCATTAATTTGATGTGGACAAATGAACTCAAAGGAAACATATAGAAGACGAGCTGACAACGTCTAAAACCTTAACTGCATGGAGCAAAAACCTTTTCAAACTTTTTTCTTTATATGAACTCCTTTAAATTCTTTTTTTTATTTTTTTTTATTTTTAACAAAGGCAGGTGTTTGTCAGCTTGACCGCACCTGTTCATCAGGTACCTGTTACCTCATACTAGTACGGATACAAAGTAATTTTGTCTACCAAGATGGAAAGCACCTAGAGTTTTATGATCTCTTTATCTAAGGGCATAAATGCATAATCTTGGCATAAAATTTGTCAAGAATTTCACAAAGGAATGATCATGTTCTGTCCTGTTCCACGTTTAGGGAACATGAACCTCCCACTGGAAAAAAGATCTCTTCATAGCCATGGGATTTGACACACAATGTGGTAGTGTGCTGTTCCTATTCTCACTACTGCTTACTTCTTGTTTTGATGTTCCAACATCTCTCTCATGAAACCGGTAATATCCCATTTGACTATCTTCGTCGTGATCAAACTTTAGTATATCAGCTATAGATAAAACACCTCGCGACACTTGATCCATTGATACTGATCTTCTAATTTGTGCATTCATATTTTCTGTTATTAGGCTCTTGAGAACTCTACTTTCTGCAACTTCTACATCCTCCTCTCTGACCCCCATTTCTCTGTCGTTTTGAGGTTGGTTTCCGAAGGTTCTTTCGTTAATCAGTGGAGCTTCGATAACTTCAATAACTAAAGGAGGTGGCGAAGCATTTACAAACACTATAGTAGAGCGACATAAAGGGCAATTGGAGTGAGATTTAAGCCATGTATCAATGCACGTAACATGAAAAGCATGGCTGCATTTTGGTAAAAGTTTAAGGCTTTCATCTTCTTGAAATTCACTCAGACATACAGAACAATCCGTTCCCTCTGCTAATCCACCTCCTTTCTTGTACTTCAACACTGTAATCGACTTGATCAGAGATTCGTCTAAACCTGTCGTATTCACATGCCATGTCTCATGATTTGAAGGGTCTTGATTCTCTTCCAATTCTGAATCATAAAGATGATCGTCATCCCTTCTTCTAAAAGCATCTCTGTGCCCACAGCACTTTGACATTATGACATAGTAGCTAAGTAGAAGGAAAGCACTGGCAAGAATTCCGATGATGCCGATAATTAGAGGAGAGAAATTTGGACCAGAATCATCATCATCATCAGGGAAGTCATCAAATGGAGGTGGAGGTGGGAAGATTATATAACACCACTGTGGGCAGTATAAACTGCAAAATCCTTGAGAACAATCCCTTGTGCTCATATATGCTCTTGAATTATTTACAGGCACCATTTCTCAAACTCAAGAAAAAGAAGTTTTGGCACAAAGTACTTACCATCACACTTTCAAGGACAGTAATCAACTAAATTGGAGAAGTGGGCAGAAAACAGAAAAGGAAGAGAAATGAGAAGAATTTAAGTGAGGAGTGTCCCTACTATACTGAGGTAAGATACAAGGGAGTGAAGAGCAATGGAAGAATGAAACAGAATGAAAATATGAGTGTTGCATTGAAGGGTGAAGGTGAAAGAGGGGGGCAGAGTTAAAGCAGTTTGATGAAAAGCAAAGAGAATAATAAACCAGGGAGGAAGTTGATAGGCATTTACCCTTTTTTTTTTTTTTACTTCCTTCTCTTTTCCTTTGTTCTTCTTTTGCCTCTATTCCTTCTTTAACTTGTTTTATTTGGAGATAGTGGCTTGTTGACTAAGATTGGTCATGTTGATTGATTATTCATCAAAGTAATCAATGCTTTAATTATGGCTTAAGCCACTTTGTATTAACTCAAAACATTATATAGAATAAGTATTATATTACATGAAATTCTGTGTTTTTTATATTACGAAAACTAGTTGACCTTCCAAGTATCTTCATCCTTAAGCAGATCCCACCAAGAAAGTAAAGAAATCTTGTTATACTAGCCACTAAATTAGATCTAAACGATCCTATGTAAGATGTGCTAGTTTTTAATTATTTCATTAACTTATTGAGTACCCAAAGTAAGCACAATTAGAGTAGACCAAACATATAAAATCGACCAAAAGTATTCCTCTTTATCTTTGAGACTTTGATATGGGAGATGGGAATCATGGCTATAGCCACTTGAGAGAAGTATATATTCTCACTTTGGTTCTTGATAATCTTTTGTCCTTCGAGTTTTTGAAACAAACACTACTTTTTAAAAGTTTGATGTAGTTATTTTTGGCGTTTTATGCGTCTGTTTCTAAATATTGATCTAAATGCTGGGAGTAGATAGGGAACGTGTAATGGAGTAAATTAAGTGACAAAAACTAAAGGAGTGAAGATAATATAAACAGATTTCTTACCAGTCAATGAGGTAGCTTTCCTGGATCACGTGGGTGAAAGAATTCAAGTATAGTCAATTATATAGCTTTTCCAAAATGTAAAACCCAAGAAATTCCTACTCCTCTTTTACTTTTCATATTTTAAATCCATTTAGGTATATATATAAATATCTACGTACGTTTTTGCATCAACAAATACTTATCCTTTACTTTGGGTCCTCCCAAATAGCTTCCTCATCCGCAGGTCAATAACCAATATTCCTTTGGTTCCAAAGTGCCAGTGGAGTTTGCAAAAGAAGAAGATGATCCTAATTTAACAAACTCAAACCTTTGATTCCTCAGCCAAGTCAGCTTGCAACTTGTCTATATACCAAGAGAAAGACACATTGGCGTTATCCTTTGCTTTCTCCCTAGACCTTTTTTCTAAATAAATTAATTAGGCAAGTATTTTCCTTCAGATACTTTATGGGGGGGAGGGTTAATACTTTTCCATAGAGGAGGGCAAAACTTCTATTTCAAGAAGTCATAAGTGAGACAGACATTACACTCATTGCATATGCTGCTGAATATCTCCTTGTATAATTGCAATAAACATACTCATAAGACAACAGAAACATGACCGCAGATTATCCGCAAAGTTTCCACTTCTGCTCAGAGTAGAAACATTTGTGTCATGATTAATATAAATATTTGGTGAGGATACTCTCATTAAACAGATGAGAATATGAAAAAACTGTGCGAAAATCCTGTAAAGGGTGTATTTTGTATGTGAAAATCATATACAGTTGTTAAAATCTTCTTCTTCTTTTTGTGACGATTGACGAATGATAGCATAAACATCAGAGATATTTCAGAAATCAACAAACTAGGAAACAAGATAAAAGGTCATTAAAGTATGACCAAACGAACATGTCAAACAAAGAAGATTTGGAGTCTACAAAAACTATGGTTATCATGTGACAATCATCAATTATGTGCATAAGGAGAAGAATTAAAGAGGACCTCGATGATCCACATAGAAGTGCAATCAAAGGAGTCGAAGAGTTTGCATATGATCTATGGCTCTTCAGGACTTTCCTGAGTGGACGGTTCTTCCTTGTTTTCAGATCCATCTGCATCCCTTTCACTGAATTTCAAGCGAATTGGTCGGCCCATCAGTTCCTGCATTTTTAAATTGAGATGTGAACATATATCAACGTCTGGTACGCTTCTGCACATACGCGTCTTTCTTACAAGGAATCAATTACCATACTTGTGTTCCATTATGTTCACATCTAACTAATGGAAGGGAATTCCCAACGAGCCACAGATGGAAACAGTGGAAAATCTGGATTAATAGCCGTGGGCAATTCTAATATTTTCAAGATACTAACTGAAGCATTTGAAACATTCATATGTACTAAGAAAAATTAAAAATCTCAAATTTTGCAATTCTTATATCAAGAGAATTTATGTTAATACAACTCCAAAAGAAACTGCTTCCTCGTCCTTAATACTTGTATTGTTGCCACTAATGGGGTCCACTTTCACTTGAACACAATGAAACATCAAGTTTCACCTTAACTTTTTTTGATATGTCATCAAGTGTCACCTAATAATCATGCTTAAACAAAATGAGACACCTAAACAAAAGCACTTTTTGGTAAGTGCTTGAAATCATCATCAGAATTACCAAATTTGACATCACATTTGCCTATAAATAATCACAAAACCCTCAGGGGTTGACCTGGTGGCAATAGACTTGAGCCTTGGGGTTTGCTCCCTTTCAAGGTCTCAAGTTCGAAACCCACTGGGTGCAAACAATTTCTGAGGGCCATCGGACTGGGTAAAACCTGAATTAACCGTGGTGCACTTGCGGGAAACTCCTTGCCGAGGGCCTGTGCACCCCCGGGATTAGTCGGGGCTCTTAGAGACTCGGACACCCGGTGCAAATAAAAAAAAAAAATAATCACAAAACTATATTCCATATTAAGAAAATATCAACCTTTTAACTTAGGGCGTGTTTGGTATGAAGAATTTAATTATTTCATTTAAAAATGCACAGAAACCCCAAGGAACTAATGTGCTGCTTTACTTTTTCACACAAGAACAACATTGAAATTTGAGCTCCATAACTAAAACAAAAGTACTCTTTCCACAACATGAAAAGGACGTACTCACTTTGTTGAAATAAAATAAAATAAAGGAATTTTTCTACAACAAGAAAGAAAGTACTCATTTTGTGAAAATGAGAGTATTTTTTCTACATGAAAAAGAAAGTATTACCTTATCAAAAAAAAAAAACATTATGAAAAGAAAGTACTTATTTTGTTGAAACGAAAGAAAATACTTTTTCTACATCATGAAAAGAAAATACTCATTTTGTTGAGATGAAAAAATAGTACTTTATGTATGACATGAAAAAAGTATTCTAAATAATATTTCTATTCAAGAGTGCGGGTTCGGGGTTGGTGGTTGGGGTGGTGGATGGATGAGATATTTTCCTCCAATTGGAGGAAAATAAGTTCATGGGGAAAATATTTTTTAAAACATTTAAGCTAACAAAACATGGGAATTGGAAAATATTTTCTGGAAAATGTGTTTTCCTTCATATCAATCACACCCTTAAATAATATTTTGAATTTAAATGATGTAAAACTTAATATTTGGTTACATGATCCAATATTTTTAGTAATGCCACACAATTTAGTAACATGCTTACAAAGAAACTATGCTACTTGAAATTACTTAGAGAACCAGTATTAAGCTATCCACCAACAGACACTTTCTACCTTGATTGTCCGACAATACAACCCAAGCAATTTTCTTTTAAAATTTCTTTTTAGTATTTGACAATTTACTTACACGATATTACCACGTGCCTTGGGGCAAACGCCCTGCTCCATGATAGGAAAAACATCTCGCTCTGCACCTATGCATTTTAAAACAGCGAGCGGAATTTTAAAGACCCAAACTTTTGACTACATTGTTTTCTACATGCAGATGAATTTCTTGAATCAGATTTTAACCATATCTTATGAGATTTAGCACTATGACCAACTCTTTAGCTCTCAAGCGTACAGCAAGGTTCTGAGAGTAAGTCCCAGTTTCAACGAGGTCTCTGACAAATTTCAATTAATATTTGAACAGGTTGTGTAATTTATTTTAAGAATTCAACTAGTTGAAATGATACTCCCCAATAATGCTGAAAGCAGAGTAATGTAATAAAGAATGACAACCAATAAGATCCAAGGAGTATTCTGGAATAAGAAGTCAAGCTATGAAGGGAATATATTTTCTTTATGCATACCTTTCCATCGAAAGCAGATAGTGCAGCCTCTGCTTCTTCTTTTGTGTCAAATGATACGAAACCATACCCAGCAGCTCTTCCTGAAGCATTGTCAAAGACAACCCTAACTGAGACCGGATTGTGGTTTGTAGAGAAGAAGTCTCTCAGATGGGTAGACCTCACTTTCCATGCAAGATTAGAAACATAAAGTTTATGCCGTGTTTCCCCTCGAGGAGGAGTTGAAGGAGGAGGAGCTCCTGCAGGTTTCTTAAACCGCTTCGCGAATTCTACCCTGATGATCCTTCCTAATAATTCCTGTACCACCATAATCATGGACAAAGAAAAGTGAAGAAACAAACAGGAAAAAGGTAAAACGAGAACAATAACGCAAAGAAGTGTCAATAAAGCCAATAAAGGAGTCTTTTACATTAAACGAAAGCAGGAGGTTCCATTATGAAAAGAGTAATCCCTTAAGACAAACAAAAAGGAAGAATCTAAACTATTTTTTTCTTGCTTAACAGCTAGGATGCATGTAGTCCTAACATAGAAAGCGTATCTCATTCCTCAGACACAGAAGTCACCACATCCATAGTTCTACCAATTAGCTTCTGTTAGTAACTTTTAGATGTTAGTGAGATACAAGTTATTAAAAACCAAAAGATAGAACATTACGCAGGTGAAAGAAAGATGTATTGACATATCTTCTTTTCTCTCAGACATACCAACAATCATTAGAAAGACATTAACATCATGTCCGAATTATTAATCCCTCCATTTCTTTAGGTAAAACACATTATGATCTTTAACTATTCGAGAGTGTTTGTCCATTTACCAATTCACCAATTTACATTCTAAACAACCTGCGCAAAAGAGCACAGCATATTGCACAAATACTTATAATTACTCAAAAAGCCCAAACAAGTAGACATCTTGCCTTAATTTTTCAATGTTTACCAGAAACCATCACTTAATTTTTTAACACAATGTACCTCATGTTTCTGCATTATCCTTTGGTAGACATCTTGCCTTTCCTCTCACCCACAAAAATTAATTCTTGAGAAAATCTTCCACCACGAAGATAATCTCACACGAATATTACTGTTACACTGACCTCAGAAACATACATAAGCAAATGCTAACTACAAACGAACCGCCATTATTCTTCGAAACTATTTTCTAGCAGAATTAAATGATCTACACAAACCAATTCATTATCAACATGTAATTTTGCTTATCCCATAACAGGAAATAAAAGGCGGAATATGAAAAAACATACATAAGAATCCAATTTGTCAATTGCAGCCTGAGCTTCTTCCCCAGAAGACATAGTCACAAAGGCAAAGCCTCTATTCTTCCCATCTTTGGTCTTTATAATCTACTAATTCAACACCCAACGGGTAAAAAAGTTAGCACCATTTATTCAGCAACAAGATAAACATACAAAAATTTGTTTTTTTTACCTCAACATCCTCAACAATTCCAGATTCAGCAAAGAGAGTCTTGATATCAGGAACAGTCAAAGACCATGGTAAGTTTAGTACAAAAAGCTTTCTTCTTTGATTACTTATTTGGATTTTCTCTGTGTTTTCTTCTTTTTCTTGTACTGCTACTTTCTCAACTGTTGAGCAGTGAAGTTGGTGGGACCATTGGTTTCTTGAAGGAGGAGGGAGGGGACAGAGAAGGGATTCGAGAGAAACACTTGAGTAATGGGTGGAGTTTTCAAGTCTAATTGAATTGGGAAACAAAGGGAATTTGAGATAAGAAGAAGAGGAAGAAGAAGGGGGAGAAGAGAAAATAGAGGACGCTACTACTTCAATTGCAGCCATTGTTTGTTTGCTCGTCTGTGTAACACCAGTTTCGAGCTAAGGGAAGGGTCTCAAAAGATATTGCAAGGTTATGTTGGTCATTTAAACCTTTTCTCCACCTTTTTCTTCTTCTTTATTTTTAATTAAAATAAATTTCTCTACAGTGACAAAATTGGCTTTTCAAAAAAAAAAAAAAAATTTAATTCGAACGATGTAAAGAATATTTATACATAGATATTTACGAGTTTATATTAAATATTATTCTTTATATGAAGGGTTTCAGATTAAGGGTCAAAACACTCAATTTTCTATGTAAATTTGGGTATGGATTCTTTATGTTTTTTAAAATAATAAGAAATTTACATATTTGAAAACTATATTAAATGTACTACAAGCTAACATAGCTAATAATTTCAAAATATCTAATAAATAATTGAGTGTTGTGAAATATTATATTTTGTAGTGGATGTTTATAACTCCTAAAGAAGTTACTCCCACTACTCTTCTCCATTAACCTCCCACTATTCTTCACCATTATGGTTGTAACTCCCATAACTCTATAACCTCCTCCATGATCTTTCCCATGATCTCAATAGTTAGTACCATGTTTATGATATCCCTTTATATACCTCAATGTCATCCTATAAATAGAAGGTTTGGACATCACATTGTACACACTTGAATATATTGAAGAAATAAGAATCTCATTCTCTCTTGCTCCCTACATTCTTGTCTATTTTTTTGTTTTATATTATTACTTTGAGCTAAGTTTCGGAACACGTTATCAGCACAAATTGCTATATTCTTCTTATATTTTCTATAAGAAATGAAAGCCTTCCATGGGAGCTACCATTGCTTTTGTTGCTTTGGCAAGTGATAAGTTGACATTTCATGTCGTTGGCAAGTTAGGCTGTAATACCGAGATGGGGCATTGCTTATAATAAAGTAGTTGTGTTGAATTAGATCTAACACATTTCTGCTGCCACTTTGCTCAATTGCTTTCTAAGCCACCAAAGTAATCGACACGTAATAGTACAGATGATGTTAGGTATTGTTTTTACGATATTATAAAATTTATATTCTTTAGGTGCACTCATAATTCTTTTATGTGGTCAATCTGGAAAAGTGACTTACTTCTATATTGGCAGCGGAGATATATATTACGCTAAGTAATATTTTGCTTTAGACACATGAAAGATGATAATAGTTATATCATGGTTTATACTAACTAATTAGATGCACATATCATCAATCTAAGTTGATTACTTCTTCAAGAATCATATTTAAAAATAATAACTTTGAGGAGCAACAATATGTGATGTGCTTTAATATCTAGATTGAGATAAGTGATTGTATGACTACCCGACAATTGACATTCTAGATCTTCTGATAATATAGTTCATTTTTGCATAAAAGTAAATATATGATAAGGTGATGCAAATACTATTAAATTTTATTTATCGCTAGACGAGTTTTCACTTGTAACCTTTGGAAGTGGCAATATTCTAAAGTCTTATGATGACCGGATGTAATGATGCCATTGATTGAGGGTAAGACGGTGGGTTCAAGTCCCAACGCACTATGTTGATGAAAAGACGTTGGATTCGAGTTCCAACGCATTATGACCTAACATGCCTTTATATGGTAAAACATTGGGTTTGAGTCCCAATGCACCATAATGATGACTAGAGAAAAATAATAATTTTTTCATGTAAAAGCATGAAGCTTGTCCCATTTGATTTGCTCCATTCTTGAATTAAATATGATAACGGTGAATAATAAGTCTAAATGAAGACAAGTGGTTGACCGATGAATATGGTCGTGCTAAAGATCAAATAATAACAGTCATCATTATGAAGGAGAACAATAAGGGTTCTCAAAATGATCCTTTCAAGGTGAAGGAATATGTATAAACGTGATATGTTAATACGAGACACGTTCACATGGTTATAGTCCATTCGTTGAAAATGTGACTTGTGATAAGCATTGTAAATGCAGGTTCATTCCTGAAAGTAAATGTTGAAATATATATGTGATAAAAATTATGCATAAGAATGTGCTTATGCATGGTTGGATAAATACCACAACTCACCTCTAAGGGAGGTTTGAGAGAAATAAAGATAATGAATATTACAATGTGGTTACATGAATATGTCATTGGTCGCGTACATGTGGTACGCCAAAAAATATTTTGCCATGCTTTATAAAAGTTATTAAAGGCAAACTTAAAGCAAGAAATGGTTTTGCCTATGATGACTTTGACCATGACAATTTATTATGATATAATTTTCTCCGTGAAGGAGATATTTTACCATATGAATGGTGTGATAAAAGATCATGTAGTACAAAATTAACGAAGAGCTCCGGAAGAACTAGTTGGTTACTATCCGGAAGAATGAAATTATTCATGACATTGATATTGTAGTAAGTCTCAAAAGAAATTTTTGAGTTTTAAATATATTAGCCAAAGTGGTTGGCATTTGAGACTACAAATGAAAGAAAAATTTAATATCTTCATATTACTATAATCACACTGGGTAAATACAAAAGGTTACCCGATTTTTTTTCTATTTGTACTACACAAATATAAGCATGATGATGGAATCACATGCCATAGTAAATTAGATGTTTATTGAAATAAATATCAGTTGGCATGACCGGTTGGCCATCCCGGTTCATTTATGATGTGAAAATTGATTGAGAATTCACATTGGCATATATTGAAGAAAAAGAACATTCTTCGAAAAATTCTCTTGTGCTGTTTTATTCTCATGATATACCAGCTGCGGTTGGGATTGAATCCCTTGATATCTGGAATTAATAGGGCCCAGTCACCTGCCATGTGGATCGTTTACTATTATATGATTTTAATAGATGCATTTGTTGTATGATCACATGTGCGTTTGTTATCAACTTGCAGTTTGGATTTTGCAAGATTGATTGCTCAAATTATTAGAGCACAGTCCAGAATATAAATTTATCTTGATAATGCTGGTTTAAATCTAAGTTGGTTTAGCAGAAGTTGTATGCCTCCAATTATAGCTAAACCATTGGTTATGAGAACAAAACTCACAAATAGAAATTTGGTATTAGGTGTATTATTTAATATACAACAGCACTTGTACGCATCTAGCCAACAAGTTATAAAAAATTCACCCTGTCACAATTGGTTCAGTGTCAGGAACTAAATAACTTCCATCTAGAAATATGAATGTGCGGTATGATTTAATTATCCCATTACAATGCACAAATATAGGTTCACAAAGAAGGTTGGAAAATGTGCTGGTGATCCCAACATTAGGGGGAGAAAATAGGCAGCTGAAAAAGTGATACATGGAATGAATTATTATGAGTACATCTAGATCCTCGTACAAGAAAATGTGAACTTGAAGTTCAAGTGGTAATTCAGTTGTAAAATATTGCCAGGGGCATCTGCTGACCCAAAGCTAAATGTCATATTTCAGCTGCTAATGCTCCAACTAAAATAAAGTCTAAGATGGACAGAGTCCATGACACGTTGGTTCCAAAGATAAAACTCCTTGAAGAAGGAGTGGAGCAAATAATCAAGATGGTCATTATAAAGAGGCAAGTTCTCTAGAAAAGCACCACGACATAACAATCTATAAGACCTCATGAAAGAGGCTCAGGTACCTGAAAATAATGATCGATAAGTTATGTCTTTATTGTGTGATGATGTAACCGATGTAAAATGATCGTCGACGATGTTGTTAATATAATGTAGCGCTCAATATTATTAATCTTGACGAGGATCTTGAGCTCAAATCTGTCATGGAATATGGATAGGTAAATGATTAGCCAAATGAAAAATATGCAATGAAAATTGACTTCATCTGAAAAATATGAAGCTGGACGAATAGTCCCAACAACTGAAAGTATAAAGGCTATATGGAGATATTGAAATATGATTAGTGTTATATTGCAAAAAGGAATCCTTGATATAAAATTATTTATTCTAACAAAATTGTCAAGGTTTTGTTGGTTATACAAATGCAGGGCATAGTTCGTTGTTCAAACAATCTATTTCCATGTGAGGACGTGTGACTTTTCTTTGAAGAGACGATTCCAATAATATTGAAGACGATGCTGCTTGCATAGCTCAATTGAAAGAACGATATATTGAAGAAGACAAAATAAAGCACATTTAGCCAAAGTTTCTTCGCATAGACGATCTTCAACAGAATGATGAAACAGATGTTCAAGAAATTCGTTCAAGTGATAATTTGACGGAATAATTCACTAAGGCATTGCCGATCTCAATATTAAAGAAGTTGTTATACAAGCTTGGAATTCGTCGTCTCCGAGAAATAAAGTGAGATTTTCATCAGGTGGAGGCAAATACGCGCTGTACTCTTTTTCCCTTAGCTAAGGTTTTATCCCACTGGATTTTCCTAGCAAGGTTTTTAATGAGGCAGCAAGTAATGCGTATTACAAGATATTTGTACTCTTTTTCCTTCACTAATATTTTTTCCCACAGGGTTTTTTCTTAGTAAGGTTTTATCGAGGCACATTATCTATAGAAATCCAAGGGGGAGTGTTGTGAAATATTATATTTTGTAGTGGATGTCTATAACTCCTAAAGAAGTTACTCCCACTACTCTTCTCCATTAACCTCCCACTATTCTTCACCATTATAGTTGTAACTCCCATAACTCTATAACCTCCCCCATGATCTTTTCCCATGATCTCAATAGTTAGTACCATGTTTATGATATCCCTTTATATGCCTTAATGTCATCCTATAAATAGAGGGTTTGGACATCACATTGTACACACTTGAATATATTGAAGAAATAAGAATCTCTTCTCTCTTGCTCCCTACATTCTTGTCTATTTTCTTGTTTTATATTATTACTTTGAGCTAAGTTTCGGAACATTGAGGAAATTGAAGAAAAAATAACACAATTTGACTTCCCAAATAGTAATATCTTCACAAACCGAGGAAGTAATTTATATTTATAACCTAGTTGCTTACCCTTAAAATTGGATAACAATTAAACTTTTAATGTGGTTTTAAGGACACGTGACTTCACCTAATACCAATTGATAAATGTA